GGCATCCAGCAATATTCAGCCCATTCTTCAGGAGTACAGGAGCCATAAATACGCCTATTTAAATCCATTTAAAATATTTTATTCAATGTATATTTTTTAGCGTTTTAATCCTATACGTATATACTTATATGAAGATTCAATTTTTGTTTTACGTTTTCAGGCAATAATTCACGATACGTTGGTTTGGAACTTATATGATTAATTTAATTAGTCCATAAAGGAACGTTGTCATTGATGACGAACGGTCGCTATGCGGTCGAATATACGTGTCCAAGGCTTTTCTAACAATAACAAGATTTCAGTTCATTTATTCAAACCTTAATCCGCATAAGCAGAAAATCTATTTCGAGCATGTAGAATCTATATCGACATCAGTCTATTTCGGGAGAGTGATTAGGTCTTACATTATATAATTTTTCGCCAAGTATTTGAAATTTAGTACCATTACACGTGACCTGCGACCGTAATTGATACATAATTAAGACCAAAGGGATTGACAATTGATAACGCATAATTTTGTTTATTCGCGAAATAATTTGGGTTTCCGACCATTTATGCAGTATACATGCTGTGAACGTGAGGAAGATTGATAACCAAACAAATTCGCTGAAGTTTGATATAATGTTCAATTCTCTTGACTCTTTGCTAATTCATTCATACACATACTATCATACAAGTTTCCGGATCCACAAAGTGGAATATATGTCCATTGCTTGCCATCAACAGTCATGTTAACATAGCTGAAATCATTCGCACATTGTACATAAATGAAGTTCTGCTTAGGACTCCGTGGGCGTCCTTTGGTCTGCCTAATATCGATGATAGCATATTCTTTCGCCCATTTTAAAATTGGACCATATAAGCCATTTTCAGTAAACTTTTCTTGGTGACTCCGTAAATCCTCCCCGTCCCGCAAAAGTTCTATTGCCCAATCTCGTCCATCATTAACATAAAAATCGACATAACCACCTGTACCAAATACTGCTCCAACATCTGGCGAAATATAGACATCTATAGGAAGAATCTGTGTGGCAGATCTATAAAATTCCATCTGCCAGATCCTTTCTAATAGTCTTCCATCACAGCCAATGCTTAGTGTCATACGGAATGTCTCTGGTCTCATTGCTGCAAAGACAGATTCGATAAAATCTTGAAACGACTTTGGTGGTATATGTGCGCGCTGCGTAGCACCTAAACGATCTTGAAGGTAAGCAGCCCGTAACAACGGTGCTGAAAAATCTAAAATATTGTCTTGCATGTTATGGCTCTGAGATGGAGTGAGGATACTTGTCTTGATAAGGCGACCATTGTTTGGAATGTCTTCTGGACGTACGATAATGCCTCCTGGTCTGAAGAGAACAGTATCTACAAGATGGATTTCATCTGAATCCATATCACTGAGTCGTGGAGCTGCCCGAGTATTCTATATGAACAGTGATAAGAAACTATAGAATATTAGCTAGCAACTTACACAATGCATATAAAAGTTTCATAATTCCCTTACTCTAATAAATTCGTTGAACCTATAGCTTGAAAGATATGCGTAAATCTTTTCAAAAGTCAGCGCTTCTTTTCCCTCCTTCAGTTGTGGAAGAAATCTTTCATATATCGTGTTCATTATAAATGCGACAAGCCCAGGATGCAACAATGTCACTTCAGAGACATAGCAGCTGAGCACATCAACGTCTTTCAGGGACTCAAGTCTCAACTTGCAAAATCGTTGAAAATAGTCATAGAACTCATCCTCCGTAAAGCGCACATTCTCCAAGCTCCAGATATGGGACTGGTGAAGCCGATATGGAGAAACATCCATAATCTTTCCTGTTTGTGCGTTTCCATCGTATGCACCTCTATAGCCATATGATGCAAATGCAACTATCTGCAGTCTTCGGAACTGTTGCATGCTTTTGAACGTATTCCAAAATATATTCCCACCATGCAAAGCTTCAGCTTCGCCTTCTGGTCGATATATCATTTGAACTTCGTCAACGATTAACACAGTCAAGATGGAATTGCACTCTTCTATAAATTCATCCCAACTAACGCCTCCGAAAAGCCACTTGAACCTTTCAGCAAAGTCCCATGATTCTGCTTCCCTTTTCATCCACAGCAATGACAGCCGAAAGACCCGACGCTCTTGACTCTGGAATTCTGATAATTCGAGCAAGTGGTGTTCGAAAAGCTGAGCAAGTGAAGTCTTACCTGCCATTGGCGGAGCACGGACAAGTATGACTCCCTTATCAGACAAAGCCTGTTGTAACTTTTGAAGAGTAGGTTTTCTCTTACAGACGACCTCATCGTTCAAATCAATGCCTTCATAGCCTAGACCGCGCTCAGATCCGTCCATGAGTGTACCACCCAAACCACCTGTGAAAAGACCAGTAAGACCTTGAATGATATAAAACAGCCTAATATATTTGCATAGTTGACATACCCAGTCTTGGCGTATAGCCATATGTTTGTCGAATGCTATGTCCTCGCACTGTAGCAGCCCCTTTCAACATAACCATAGAAGAAAGAGAAAAGAGGGGAAAAAAAAGTACGTTACTAAACGTCGAAAGAAAAAGCATTATTATGGAATAGGCACATCATTCAATGTTGTGTTCTCTACCCTGACAACAGCATTTGAACTATTCTCTCCCCTCCTCTACTTAACCCAAACGTATCGTTCTTGCTTACGCATAGAGTACAACTCCCAACTCCAACGCATGTCGTAATGCATTCCAACAACTCTCTGCGGTACCGCCTCCATTACTGCTACGAACCCCGTAATGTCTCTACGACGCAGCTCTGCCCGCTGTACAGCCAACTAATAACACCAACTACCTCTCTCTCCCTTGCAATATAGCACAAAACCAGTAACGGTCTTCAAACTCTTCCCCCCGTTGCTCCTCTATCCTCCCAAGAAACGTGTGTCGCTTGTTTGCTTACCTTGCTCGCCCTGTTTTTGAAGATATTCTTTATACGCATCTCGTGCCTGCTTCAAAGTTGCCTCAGGATATTGCATGTCATATTCCGTGAAGAATTCGTCTTCGCTCATTACTTTTGCCATTAGTACGTGTTAGTAACGGTAAAAGAAGAGTCGCGATCTGCGCCCGCCCAACTCAGCCCTGTTTGTACGTTTTACTTACACAAACATGTGATACTCCTCTGTATTGAAGCGCCGAATCAACTACAGGTGCCAGGTCCAGCAACGCTTAGCAAAATAGATCGGGAACCCGCCATGCTTTTGTTAGAGATAAAGGATAATGGAGACAAAGGGAAAATCTCTTTTATACACTTCTTTGCATATCACGTTATGGAACAATTGTTGTACAGTGAACTCTCCCTAAATGCACTCTCCCTAAATGCACAGTCTCCCTAAATGCACGCTATTTGATGGTCCCA